GGAAAGAGTTGTTGGCTTGACTACCAGGAGCCCTGTTAAAAACGCTGCCGTCCCTACAAACTGCTGGGAAGCCGACAGCCAGGCCCAGCGAGGTGCAGGTCCCCAGGACAACACCGGTGCGACATCCGGCCCACCATCCGAAGAGCCGGCAAACACCAGGAAAGGAAAGCCAAGCAACAGAGTGCAGACAAGACAGGGTGGGAACCAGGACCAAGCAACCAGGAAGGAGAGAGCATCAGCCGTGGGGGAGGGGGGCAGGGTGAGAACAAAGGAGGAGCACAGGGGGAGGGGGAGGGACAGAGTGGGGAGGTGTGCGAAGCGTGGTCAGTCAGCCGGCCCCCCAGGCACACACGGATCGGCTCTCTCACGGCCTCCTCCGCTACGAATTCTCCTTCAGCCCTTCTGTGCCCTGGCCCGGCCCCTACCTGACACTTGTGCGGCCGCTCGGAAGTGTGAACCTGCTTGATATGTCCGTTCAAGTGATCAGGCCTGGAAAAGACAGAAAAGAAAAGGACTTTAACAACAAGACATCAAAAGATGGGACGCAAACTTGGCCAGACCCCACCACACACACACACACACACACACACACACACACACACTGCTGGAGAGGACTCCCTCTCCCCCACCCCAGCATGACAAAGACAGTCACCACTCAGCTGTGGCTCCACAGGCCCAGGCCTCTCGGCCCTGGATTTTCTCTAGAGGGGGAATGGAAGTGAGTGTTTGTCTCTGATGTTGCCTACCCGCCCTCCCCCAAAGTCCCCCACCAGAAACCCAACGATTTCTAGGACGGAGCGGTGGCTTTGGAATGAGCCAGGGCTGCCTGGCTGCAGCGTTTCTGGGAGGGGGTATGTGTGATTCATTGTCCAGACTAAAGCCCCTTAGAAACTCAGTGCTCCCCTCCCCCAGCCTCTCCTGCCACGGCAGGCAGCCGCAGACGCTGCCCATGAATGCCACCCGGATGGAATTTAGTCCCCAGAGGCCAGCGATGGAGCCTTAAGTCCCCAGCTGGGCTTGTAAGCCAGATGCCCGCCTGAGCAGGTGGGCAGGGGCTGCCTGACCGGTAAGACTGGTTCCTGGCTGGGGCCCCTCTGAGGGAGTTCTCCATCTCTGAATTCACACAAGCTCCTCAGTATCCAAGTTCAAACCGGCCTCTCATTCTGAATATTTCTACGAGAAAACAAAACCACCCTTGGCTCCCACACAAGTCCCCAGCGCCCCATCAGACTCACTAGCAAGTGGATCTGAAAAGAGGTCCTGCCCCCTTCCTCTCTGTCCTGAGAACAGAACGGAGGTCTGTGGGTCTGAGCAGGCTCTGGAGCCGTCAGGTTTGGGCACATCGAAGCCTTCAGTGTTAATGCTGAGCTGGGTGTCCCAAGATCCCAGGGTCATGTGAGGGGCAAAGGTGGAATCTACTGATCCAGGATGGCCAGCGCTCTGGGGTGGGCCGTCTGGTGCCCAGAGAGTGTAAGGAGTCCCAAACGCACTTGTTCCAGTCCCTCCCTCGGTGGCCATTCAAGCAGGGAAAGTGGCTGGAGGAGAGGAGCCCAGCCTCCCGCCCCCAGAGGGGGCCCCACGCCTGGTGCCGGAAACACAAAGGGAGCCTGGGGAGAAGAATGGCGAGGCCGGTGGCTCTGGCCTGAGGAATCTGGCCCCTTCCCACAGGCCCCAAGGAGGAGAGATGGTAGGGCACGCCTAGTGCGGGAGAACTCCCCTGAGAGAAGAGAAAGCTCTTGGCCACACCACGCAGAACACACTCTCCCCAAACCTGGCATGGCCCAAAGGTCAAGAGACCACCCAAGTCCCACAACCCCAGATCTTGGAAGGTGTCTCATGAGCCAGAACTAAGACAGGCGGTGTTGGGGCGGGGGAGGGTGCCTTTCCTCACCTGGAGAAGCCTTTCCCACAGCTCTGGCAGATGTAGGGCTTGCCCACGGACCCATCATGGGACCGCACATGGTAGGACATGCGGTCTTTCCTCTTGAACCGCAGCCCACACACGGGACAGGAGTAGGGCTTCTCCCCAGAATGGGAGAGCTTGTGCCGGTTGAGATGGTACACGTCGCGGAAGATCTTGCCGCAGATCTCACAAGCCACCTGCTTCCTGGTCCGGCTCCTCTTGCGGGGGCCGTCGGGGTCCTCAGAGATGGGGAGCCCATTCTCGCCCAGCCTCGGAGGAGGGAGGTCGATGTAGCCCAGTTGGAGGCTGGTGACACCGTGTTGGGCCTCGTGCTGCCGGAGCCGGTTGGCATCAGTGAACACCTTCCCACACAGGCCACACGGAAGGATGCCTGCCTCTCTCAGGCCCCCAGGGGACCCAAACATTGAGTCCAGCAGGTTGGCCTTCCTTGGGCGGCCCCGGCCTCGCTTGCCAGTCAGGGGAGGGGCACTGGACGCCACATTGGGGAACGGGGAAGTCAGCAGTTGGGGAGACAGGGGTCCAGCCACCATGGGCAAGCGGTCCACCCCAGGTAACACAGGCAGGGAGGTTTGGCTGGCAATGGCTGCACCAGCTGCCCGGGCTGCGTCCTCCTCGGGCTGCATGCTGCCTGCGATGCCATTGCTGTTGGCTGCCAAGGCTGCCCCATTGGTCATGTCCAAAGGGAAGCCCAAGTCCGAGGTCCCAGGGGGACGAAAGAGCATGATGTCGGCCCGGGCAGGGGGCACGAGGATCTGCACGTTAGACTGTTTGATGACTTCCTGGCAGATCTCGATTACCGACCTCATCAGCAGGAACTTGGCGGCCGTCATGAGCTCAGGGAAGCTCTCCAGGCGCACTACGATGCGGGAAGTGTAGGCGAAGTCCAGGATGTCCCCGAACACCTTGGAGCTGATGGTGTGCATCTCCAGTTCTCGGCTGCCCCCAGCCCCGCCGCCCCGGGCTGGCGGCGCGCCCCCCCCACACG